TTTTGTCAATCTTTTCAGAGAATCAGCTTTGGTTTCATTGGTTTACTCTATTGTTTTTCTGTTTTCTGTTTGTTTTTATGTCTTGTTCTAATCTTTCTTCAGCTAGCTTTGGGTTTAGTTTATTCTTTTACTAGTTCTGTAAGTTTTAGTTAGATTGTTGATTTGAGCTGTAAGCTTTCCTCTTAACACTACTTTCACTGGTTTCTGTAAGTTTTGGTATGTTGTGTTTTAGTTTTCATTTTCCTAATTTCCCGTGTGATTTCTTCTTTGATCCATTGGTTGTTTAGGAGTATGATGTTTAATTTCCACAAATGTGTAAATTTTCCAGTTTCACCTGTTACTGACTTATAACTTCAAAAGAAGTATATTTCTTTTGAAATATATTGAGATGTAATATGTTGAGGCTTAAGGTATGGTCTTTTCTGGAAAATGTCCATTGTATACTTAAGAAAAATGTGAATGCTGCTGTTCTTTGGTAGAATGTTCTGTATTTGCTAGATCAAGTTGATTTATTGTGTTTTTCAAGTCCTCTATTTCCTTGTTTACCTTCTGTCTGGTTGTTCTATCATTATTGAGAGTGGGGTATTGACGTCTCCAACAATTATGGAAAAGCTATATATACAAACATAAATATAATATTATAGATATATATAGATATTATAGAAAAGCTATCTAGAGAGACATATATCTGTGGCATATAAATGTCTAGTCTTCCTTTCAATTCTGTCATTTTTTGCTTCTTATATTTTGCTGGTCTTTTACTAGATACATAAATGTTTATAATTGTTATTTTTTCTTATTATGTTGAACCTTTTGTTAATGTATAATATCTTTTGTCTATTATAAACTTTTTTGATTTAAAGTCTATTTTGTCTGATATTAAGATAGCCACCTGTCCTCTCTTTTTGGCTACTATGTGCATGGAATATCTTTTTCAGTCTTTTCACTTTCAATCTATGTGTGTCTTTGAATCTAAAGTGAGTCTATTTTAGATAGCATATAGTTTTGTGTTTTTATCCATTCTGCAAATCTCTGTATTTTGAATAGAGAGTTTAAACTGTTTATATTTAAAGTAATTACTGATAAGGAGGACCTTACTTAGGTCATTTTGCTATTTGTTTTCTTTATGATTTATGACTTCTCTGTTTATCATTTTCTGCCTTATTGTATTCTTTTGTGTTCAGCTGATTTGTTTATAGTGAAACATTTAAATTCATTTCTCATTTCCTTTTGTGTATATTCTATACCTGTTTCCTTTGTGGTTACCATGGAGATTACATCTAACATCCTAAAGTTATAGCACTCCATTGTGAATTTATTCCTCTTTTACACCTCTATCCCAACTCCTTTCAATTGTTGTTATCACAGAATTACACCTTTATACATTGTATGCCCCAAAACATAATCTAATAGTTATTTTAAATATACTTGTCTCGGGGCGCCTGGGTGGTGCAGTCGGTTAAGCATCCGACTTCAGCCAGGTCACGATCTCGCGGTCCGTGAGTTCGAGCCCCGCGTCGGGCTCTGGGCTGATGGCTCAGAGCCTGGAGCCTGTTTCCGATTCTGTGTCTCCCTCTCTCTCTGCCCCTCCCCCGTTCATGCTCTGTCTCTCTCTGTCCCAAAAATAAATAAACGTTGAAAAAAAAATTAAAAAAAAAATAATAAAATAAAATAAATATACTTGTCTCTTAAATTACATAGAAAACAGTATGTGAAATTACAAACCAAAGTTACAATAATACTATTTTAGACTAATAATTTTTTTAAATATATTGTTCTCTTAAATCGTGTATAAAACAAAAACTTTAGTTACAAACCATTGTTACAGTAACATTGGCTTTTATAACTATCCATATATTTACCTTTATCGAAACTTCTGTTTCTTTCTACAATTTTGGGTTACTGTCAAGTGTCCTTCATTTTTCCCTGTAGGACTCTCTTGAGCATTTCTTGCAGGGCAGGTCTAGTGGCAATGAACTTTTACAGCTTTTGTTTATCTTCAGTGTCTTAATTTCTCCCTTACTCTTGAAGGACAGTTTCGCTAGACACAGGATTCTTGCCTGATAGTTTTTTTTCATTGAGAAGTTTGAATATATTGGCCCACTGCCTTCTGGCCTCCAAAGTTTCTGATGAGAAATCTGTTAACATATTAAAAATTCTTTGTATGTGATGAATTTTTTCTCTCTTGCTGTTTTCAAGAGTTTCTCTTTATCTTTGGCTTTCACAAGTTTAATTATAATGTGTCTTGGTGAGGATGTATCTTTTAGTCCATCTTAATTGGAGTTTGTTGAGCTTCTGGGATGTTTATATTTATGTTTTTCATCAAATTTGGCATTTTTCGGGTGCCTGGGTGGCTCAGTTGGTTGAGCGTCCCGACTTCAGCTCAGGTCATGATCTTGGAGTCTGTGAGTTCGAGCCACGTGTCGGGCTCTGTGCTGACAGCTCAGAGCCTAGAGCCTGCTTCGGATTCTGTGCCTCCCTCTCTCTCTCTGCCCCTCCCCCGCTCATGCTCTGTCTCTCTTTCTCTCTGTCAAAAATAAATAAACATTAAAAAAAATTAAGTTTGGCGTTTTTCAGCCAGTATTCCTTGAGATATTCTCTCCTCCCGCTTCTCCTTCTCTTTTCCTTCTGGGACTCCCACAGCATGCATGTTGGTCTGCTTACTGGTGTACCATAGGTCTCTTAAGCTCTGCTTACTTTTCTTTCATCTTTTTTCTTTCTGTTTCTCAGACTTGACAATTTCCATTGTTTATCTTCAAGTTATCTTCAAGAATCCAGGCTGGTTACTTTCTTCTGCCTGCTCAACTCTGCCTTTGAATCCCACTAATGAATTGTTCCTTTCAGTTATTCTACTTTTCAGCTTCAGAGTTTCTGTTTGGTCTTTTTTTAGTTTTTGTCTATTTATTGATATTTCCATTTTGTGCATCATTTCTTGAATTTCTCCACATCTTCCTTTAGTTTTTGAGCATCTTTTTTTTTTTTTTAATTTTTTTTTCAACATTTTTATTTATTTTTTTTTGGGACAGAGAGAGACAGAGCATGAACGGGGGAGGGGCAGAGAGAGAGGGAGACACAGAATCGGAAACAGGCTCCAGGCTCCGAGCCATCAGCCCAGAGCCTGACGCGGGGCTCGAACTCACGGACCGTGAGATCGTGACCTGGCTGAAGTCGGACGCTTAACCGACTGCGCCACCCAGGCGCCCCAATTTTTGAGCATCTTTAAGACATTGGTGTTCAGGTCTTTGTCTAGTAGATCTGCCATCAGGTCTTTTTCAGGGTCAGTTTCTATTGATTTTTTAATTTCCTTTGAGACATAATTTTGTGTTTCTTTGTATGCCTTATAATTTTGTATTGAAAACTGGATATTTCAGTTTAATAGTGCAGGAACTCTGGAAATCAGATTCTTTCCCTTCCCCTGAGTTTACTCTGTGTGTGTGTGTGTGTGTGTGTGTGTGTGTGTGTGTGTGTGTGTGTGTGTTTAATTGTTATAGGCTACAAGGATCAGTCAAAGATCAGTTTGAATTGTAAACTTAAGGTCTTTTCAGTTCTTTTGTGAATCTGTACCTTTCTCTGGAAATGACTGATAATTTCTCAGTTTTCTCCATATGTGTTGTTATTTTTTGAATGTCCTCATTTTTAATATCTGGCTCTCCTAAGGGGAAAGGACAACAATCGAGAGGGAAGGAAAAACCCTTTAAGTTCCCTGGAAGTTGTCAGATGGGAAGGGCTTGCAACAACGGTGGGGGGTGAAGGTGCATCACCAAAGGCTGCCTGCCTGTTTGTCTACACCTGTGTGATCAGAAGCAGCAACCAACAATCAGAGCACAGATCTCCTGGATTGGAGGACAGAGTCCCTTTTTGTCCACCCTGGCTCCCACAAGTGTGCAAGCTGTTCCAGAAACATGTGCACAGCTGCCTGCTGCTGGGGCTGCGGTGAGGGAATGGGTAGCTGCTACTGGGCTAAGAGCAGAAATTGACTGGAGTTAAGCACAAGTTACCCCCCAAGCCTTCCCCTGGAAGTTGCAAGCCTTCAGTAGACACCAGAGTTCTAAAATAGTTACGTTAGATTCTGCCAGCACAGTTGTCTAGAAGTGGAGACAGATTCCTGGTGCTTCCTAGTCCACTTTCTTCCCAGGATCCTCTCTGTCTACTGCAGCTTTTTAAAGGACTCATAAACCGTAATGTGTTTCTGACTTCCCTATTACTTATTTCTTCACAGTATTAATAAAAATTATGGGTAGAACTGGTGATTTTGTTTTGTCTTAATAGTCATCTCTTTTTCTGACAATTTAATGTGTGATTGACTAGTCAGCATATTTACAAAGAAGGAAAAATTCTATAATCATCTCTAATTCTAGGTTAGGGGCCTGGGTAAGTTTTTGGGTGAAACTCTGTCATTGTATATGTTGAATAAGAACAATTGATTTGAAGTCATTGAATGGGGTCGTGAAAGGTCATGGATTTTCAACACTAGCTGCCTTGGGTTTAATACTGGCTTTGTTAATCACTATCTGACCATAGGCCTTGAAGTGCAATCTCTATGTCTCTAGCACCAGTATACTGGTAAAATCTACTATGCAAGGTTGTTTAAATTAGAACTGGGTGGCTCAGTTGGTTAAGCATCCAACTTCAGATCAGGTCATGATCTCACAGTTCATAGATTGGAGCCCCACATGAAGCTCTGTGCTGACAGCATGGAGCCTGCTTGAAATTCTCTGTATCCCTCTTTGTATCCCTTCCCCTCTCTCTCTCTCAGAAATAAACATTTTTAAAAATAATTAAATAAATTAGAAAAAAGAAACAAATTGGAACATATAAGGCAATCAATAGTAGGTAACAATTTTTATTTTTTATTATAATTATCTTGATACCACATCTCATCTTTATTATTTCCTTTATTCAACTTTCTATTTAACTTTTCATGAGTTCTAGTGAGTTTCACGTTGGAGTTTATAAAGAAATTTTAGATATACCCTTTTTGCTTATTTTAGGACTTTCAAATGCCTTGGGAACAGGAATCAGAACTTACAAAGAGGGATAAAGCTGCCAGAGTCATTCAGAGGGCCTGGAAACGTTTTCTTGTGAGTTTGTTTCATTGTTTTGTAATCTTACTGTGATATAATTTATATAGCATAAGGTTCACCTGTTGAAAGTGTATAATTCAATCATTTTTAGTATATTTACAGATTGGTGTACCACCCTTTGCTTTAAAAGCACCCATTTTTTAGAAGTTCAGAAATTTAACATTAATTAATCATTCCATTAGCCTCGCAAATCCTTACTGAGCTCCCGGTCAGGGTCAGGCACTCTGAAAATAACTATGATCACTGAAAGTATCACGAATAGGATCCTTTGGCTTTTACCTCTAAAACTATTTCTTGACTCAGCAATCAGGTTTCTGAGAAAGTGTTAGGGATACATTCATTCACTCATTAAATAGTTATCGAGTACTTGACTCTTGAAGACTTAAAGTTTAATAATAAACTGTATCGGGGCGCCTGGATGGCGCAGTCGGTTAAGCGTCCGACTTCAGCCAGGTCACGATCTCGCGGTCCGTGAGTTTGAGCCCCGCGTCAGGCTCTGGGCTGATGGCTCGGAGCCTGGAGCCTGTTTCCGATTCTGTGTCTCCCTCTCTCTCTGCCCCTCCCCCGTTCGTGCTCTGTCTCTCTCTGTCCCAAAAATAAAAAAAAAAAAAAACGTTGAATAATAAACTGTATCTGAGTTAATACACTTTGTCATGCTATAGTCTGGGTAGAGCTGGTCTCATTGGTGGAAGGAATATTCCAGGTTGACTTACCTGGTTGAGTGAGAGCCAATAACTAAAATGACTTCACTCTTTCTTCCGTGTTTGTAGCAACACTGTCTGCGCCTGATAATTATACGTGAAGTGCGATGGCTCTGTTTCTAACACACATGATCCGTTAATCGAGTCTTACAAAATAGCTTCCATTATGTGTTTCTTTTGCCTCTTTCAAGCCATAAAACCCCTAACTCTTGATCTCCAATACTAAAATAATAATTTCCTTAAAAAAATTTTTAATGCTTTTTAAAAAAATTTTTTTTAATGTTTATTCTTGAGACAGAGACAGAGCGTGAACAGGGGAGGGGCAGAGAGAGAGGGAGACGCAGAATCGGAGACAGGTTATTGGGGCACCTGGGTGGCTAAGTCGGTTAATCATCTGACTTTGGCTCAGGTCATGATCTCACAGTTTCTGAGTTCAAGCCCTGCATCATGCTCTACTGATGCTCAGAGCCTGCTTGGGATTCTCTCTCCCTCTCTCTCTCGCTCTGCTCCTCCTCTGCTGTCTCTCTCTTCCTCTCAAAATAAATAAAAACATAAATTTTTTTTAATTATTTTAATATTTATTCATTTTTGAGAGGCAGAGGCAGAGTATGCATAGGAGAGGAATAGAGAGAGAGAGGGAGACACAGAATCTGAAGCAGGCTCCAGGCTCTGGGCTGTCAGCACAGAGCCCAACACGGGGCTGGAACCCATGAACTGTGAGGTCATGACCTAAGCTGAGTCAGACGCTTAACCAACTGAGCCACGCAGGTGCCCCTAAAATATCTTTCTTAAAATTGTGATCAATTTAGATAAGATCTGTATGTTGAAAGGATTAAAGCGGGTTGTATTTGGAGATCAAATGGTGTCCCATGCAATAGAAGGTGTGACTGAGCAGTTGGATTTAAAAAGTGGTTAGAAACTGAAAAAAAGCAACCATGAAAGCCATGGTTCAAATCCTAGGATAATTTAAATAGTTCTAAGACCCAAAGAGAAAACATTTGATCTTAAATCTCGATATATTCTTTTTCAAGTGGCTCAGAGGAGGTTTTCTAAATAAGGATGCTTAATTTTAACACATTACTTGGCCCAGTAAGTGAGTAATTTGCATAGTCAAACTACTGTAAATGAAGGTATTTTCTTTTGTGTGAATATTTTAAGTCAAAATAATGTATATACTTCTTTCAGTAAAATAATATAGAAGAACTTACAAATAAAAGCACATCTTTTACCCCCTCCTATTCTTCTCTACCCTCATACTCTAAAGGGAAGCACTTTGAACTACTTTTTGTTTTAGATGTTCTGGTAGTTATTTCTGTTTCTATATAACATGCTTGTGTAATTATTTTTTATTTGCCAACTTCAGAAGTGACCTGTTGATTTTCTGCAAAGATAATTGAGAGCTTATCTTACTTACCCGTTACACAGCCCTGCCAGTACCATATGTAATGATTTTTTAGTTCTTCTATTTGTTACCTTAATTTTTGTTTAAGTTTATTTATTTTGTGAGAGAGATGGGGTAAGAGGCAGAGAGAGAGGGAGGGGCAGAGAGAGAGAATCCCAAGCAGGCTGTGAGCTGTCAGCACAGAGGGGGACATGTTGCTCAAACTAACAAACTGTAAGATTATGACCTGAGCCAAAATCAAGAGTCAGGGTATAGCCGACTGAGCCACCCAGACGCCCTTATTGCCTTATTTCTTTACAGCACAGAGCCTGGAGCCTGCTTTGGATTCTTTGTTAATGTCTCTCTCTGCCACTCCCCCATTCACACTCTGTCTCTCTCTCAAAAATAAATTTAAAAAAACATTTAAAATTTTTTTAAAAAAAGAATTTAAACCTGGGGCGTCTGGATGGACCAGTTGGTTAAGTGACCTACTTTGGCTGAGGTAATGATCTCATGGCTCATGAGTTTGAGCCCTGCGTCGGGCTCTGTGCTGACAGCTCAGAGCCTGGAGCCTGCTTCAGATTCTGTGTCTCCCTCTCTCTCAAAAATAAATAAACGTTAAAAAGAGCATGTTTAAACCTTTGTTTCTTGTTCCATCATGTTAACATAGGATTATGTGACTCCTTATTATGTCTGATGAAGATATAAATATCCCAACCCCCCACCTTTTTTTTTTTTAACCTATTCTCCCAATCTTCAAACCCCCAAATCCCATTACATCTACTAGTACACTGTCAATATTCACTTGGAGGAGTTTCTCATATATCCTGGGCACAAGTCCTTTATTGAATACATGTGTGGCAGGTATTTTCTCCAGACACTGCATTCTTAAAGATGTTTTTTTTGATAATGAGAAGTCTTTCATTTTAATTAAGTCCAATTTAATCCCTTGTTCTTTATGGTTAGTGCTTTCTGTGTCCTGTTTAAGAGATGTTTGCCCAGGGGTTCCTGGGTGCCTTGGTCGGTTGAATGTCTTGGGTCGCAGTCTCAGGGTTCATAGGTTTGAACCTGACATCGGGCTCTCTGCTGTCAGCACGGAGCCTGCTTCCAATCCTCTGTTCTCCTCTCTTTGCCCCTCCCCCACTCGTTCTCATTCTCTCTCTCTCTCTCTCTCTCTCTCAAAAATGAATAAACATTAAAGAATGAAAAAGAAATGTTTGCCTAAAGAGGTGACAATATCAGAACTTACCCAGTGGGAAAATATCCTAAGGCAGACGTCCAGCTCAGCCAACACAATATTACGTGTCAATTATATTGAAATAAATCTGGGGGGAAATGTTTAATCCAAAGCCAGGATATATTTTCCTTAAGCTTTTTCTAGATGCTTGATTGCTTTTGTTGTAGGTTGAGATCTACCTCTCAAATTAATGTTTGTGTGTGATAAGAGGTGTAGGCAAAGTTCATTTTTGTCTTTATGGATAACCAAATGACTAAGTCCTTTTACTGAAAACACTAGATCATGTCTCCATATATGTGAAGTGTTTCTGTGGTCTCTGTTCATTTGCATTGGTTTATTTGTCTTTATTTGGGTCAGTACCACACTGTCTTAGTAACTATAGCTTTGTCATAAGTGTGGGTATCAAAATCCTCCAACTGTGATGTTCTTCATGATTATCACAGCTATTTTAGGGCTTTTGCATTTCCATTTAAATAGCAGAATCAATTTATTAATTTTTGCAAAAATATTTGTGGGGATTATAATTGGGATTGCATTAGGATCAGTTTGGGGGAGAACTGACATTTTACTACTCCAAGTTTTCATGAACCTGGTATATATCTTCATGTTTTAGATCTTTAAAAATTTTTCTCCACAACGTTTTATAGTTTGCAGTGTAGAAGTCTTATGTATCTTTCATTTAACTTACGGGTATTTGACATTGTTTGATGCTACTGTGAGTGGTATTAATTTCAATTTTATTTTCTAATTGTTCATTTCTAGTTTATAGAAATATAATTTATTTTTATCTGCTGGCCTAGTATGCGCTTATTATTTCTAATTGATTTTTTATAGACACCTTTGGATTTACTACCTAATCATGTCATGTCTGAATGACTTTTGTTTTTTTCTTTGTAAACTTTATACCTATTACTTCTTTTTCTTTATTGTACTCCAGCACAGTATTGTACTTTATTACCCTCCCAGAGAATCCCAAGCAGGCTCCATGCTATCCGTGCAGAGCCTGACACGGGGCTCGATCTCACAAACTGTGAGATCATGACCTGAGCCTGAGCCGGAATCAAGGGTTAAACATTTAACCAACTGAGCTACCCAGATGTCCCTATTACCTTTCACTTTAAAATATTTTACAGTTTCCATTGTGATTTTTTTTGACCCATCGGTTATTTAGAAGTATGTTATTTAATTACCAAATATTTAGAAGTTTTCTAGTTACCTTTCTGTTACTGATTTCTGGTTTGATTCTGAGGCCAGTAATTTATATGATTTTTTTAAATTCAATTTAATTTTTTATTTTTTTTTAATTTACATCCAAATTAGTTAGCATATAGTGAAACAATGATTTCAGGAGTAGATTCTTTAATGCCCCTTACCCATTTAGCCCATCCCCCCTCCCAGGAACCCTCAGTTTGTTCTCCATATTTATGAGTCTCTTCGGTTTTGTCCCCCTCCCTGTTTTTATATTATTTTTGTTTCCCTTCCCTTATGTTCGTCTGTTTTGTCTCTTAAAGTCCTCATATGTGTGAAGTCATGTGATTTTTGTCTTTCTCTGAATAATTTCACTTAGCATGATACCCTCCAGTTCCATCCACATAGTTGCAAATGGCAAGATTTCATTCTTTTTGATTGCTGAGTACTACTCCATTGTATATATATGCCACATCTTCTTCATCCATTCATCCATCGATGGTCATTTGGGCTCTTTCCATACTTTGGCTATTGTTGATAGTGCTACTATAAACATGGGGGTGCATGTGTCCCTTCGAAACAGCACACCTGTATCCTGTGGATAAATGCCTAATAGTGCAATTGCTGGGTCGTAGGGTAGTTCTATTTTTAGTTTTTTGAGAAACCTCCATACTGTTTTCCAGAGTGGCTGCACCAGCTTGCATTGCCACCAACAATGCAAAAGAGATCCTCTTTCTCCGCATCCTCGCCAACATCTGTTGTTGCCTGAGTTGTAAATGTTAGCCATTCTGACAGGTGTCAGATGGTATCTCATTGTGGTTTTGATTTGTATTTTTCTGATGATGAGTGATGTGGAGCACTTTTTCATGTGTCATTTGGCCATCTGGATGTCTTCCTTGGAGAAGTGTCTATTCATGTCTTTGGCCCATTTCTTCACTGGATTGTTTTTTGGGTGTTGAGTTTGATAAGTTCTTCGTAGATTTTGGATACTAACCCTGTATCTGATACGTCATTTGCAAATATCTTCTCCCATTCTGCTGGTTGCCTTTTAGTTTTGCTGATTGTTTCCTTCGCTGTGCAGAAGCTTTTTATTTTGATGAGGTCCCAGTAGTTCATTTTTGCTTTTGTTTCGCTTGACTCCAGAGATGTGTTGAGTAAGAAGTTGCTGCGGGCAAGATCAAAGAGGTTTTTGCTTGCTTTCGCCTCAAGGATTTTGATGGCTTCCTGTCTTACATTGAGGTCTTTCACCCATTTTGAGTTTATTTTTGTGTATGTTGTAAGAAAGTGGTCCAGGTTCATTCTTCTGCATGTCGCTGTCCAGTGTTCCCAGCACCACTTGCTGAAGAGACTGTCTTTATTCCA